TTTGTAGTCGTGATGTTGAAGACGTCTAATAAGTGCGGGGTCCGACGTATAAATCATTATGACGCTTCTTGATACTTATTGGATGGGATTTGATTGATGGCAACAGTTCCCGTAAGGCCGGGAGATTACGGCTGTTTAAGGGTTAAGCTGCAGTTGAACGCGTAATGCGGCAATTATGCATGGACCACAATTGATAAGATCAGTTGGGAACTGACGAGTTTGAGTTAAAAAATCGATTAGCGTTCGAGTATTTATTTACATTCGAAGAGAGTTTAGGACTTGAAGTTTATTTACTAAATTTACTAGTATCATGCATGGCCTTGAAGGTCCTAAAATCCTTTACTTTCTATAATTAGTGACGTTTTCATTTTTCAAAATAATGGCAGTTATCGGCAGCATTGCAAAGTCAAACTATACATTAAATTCTGAGAATCTAGACTGATTATAACTTTCCCTCAATTAAAGTTGTCTTGTTATGAACAGAGACATTAAGCGAAGAATGTTTATTAGAATTGTGTAGAGTGCTAAGGCAATAATTAAGCATGTAAATCAACGCTATTATTGCCAATAATCTTAACGATCTCTCGCCGATCATTTAGTTATCGATTCGATACGAGAAAAGATAATGACCCTAATCGATGGTCTGACAAGCGATGAACGTTATCGATATTTTGTTTTCATGTCCACATCGAGTTGGGGGGAGCGAGCGTATCGATTAATTATGAGAATTGATTATCTGTGGGCGGCGCTTTACTAACTAGTCCGGCCGTTTTCGTGTTTGTTTAATTACTTTCAAATCCGCCTCCGCGGACAGGGATGTTCAAACTTTAGATTTGTGCGTCCGTCATAAATACATAATTTTGCTTATAGACTGAATATTATTATCAGATGAAGATATTGAAATTTATTTATGAAACCTAAAATATTTGGCAGCTTTAAAATCATTCTTGGCTGTGTTTTATTTTTTTTTTAAATATCGGATTGGTATCTCAGAGTTTAGTAGAAGCCAGTCTAGAAACAGTTTACTCGACATTAAAGGCTTGTAGTTTTTATTAAATATATGAATTTTAATATTAAACCTTTTAAGCATCCTTAAACAATTTATTTTTTGTACGCACACAAATTGTCGATTATTGCTTCCGGTCTTTCAATTACTTTTTATTTATATATTTACATTCCCGGTTGAATATTTAAAAAGATTTTGGTCATTATTCTCTTCTAATTAAAATATAATTTGAATAAAATTAACGATATTTATAAAGCACGTTTTAAACTCTATAACAAAAGAATTTTATATCAAGTAATAAATTAACTTGGAATTCGTAGATAAATCATGAATGTTAACGAATTCTTAAATGTCAAGTTTAAACCTGGCATCCCATTTCACACGAGACTATAAATGTTTTTTTTATAGTACAAAAATGCAGCAGCCGTTTTTTAGAATTATAATTAGATTTGGCGAAGTTCCGCCCATCGAATAAAGCAGGCATTAAGCACATGCTATAGCCCAAGTTACAATTTAAAGAGAATGATTTTACTATTGCTTTTAACACAAAATAATTAAAATATTAAAAAAAAACGTCTATATTTATTTGTTCAAAATGTTATTATTACTTCGACATAGCTACTATATACTTTGATATTAGCTTTCGCCCGCGATTCCGTCTGCGCGGAATAAAAAAATCAAAAGTAAGTACCCTAAGAATTCTTCTAAACTATCCTCTATATCTATGTGAAATTACATCGAGACCCGTTCAGCAGTTTAGGCTACAAACTCTAACAAACATCCATCCAAACTCTCGCATTTATAATATTAGTAAGATTATATTTTTAAATAATTAATACAACTTAAAAACCGACTTTTCGTTTAACTATGCTACAAACTTATTCTAGTTTTAACCTATCAAAAGAAATATAAATTTTTATATAGCGAGTGTAAGACGTTTGTACCCGCTATCGCTTCTGACTTGTAACGTTAAAATTCAACAGCAGAGTATAGGCGTGGCCAACAGATGAGCTCCCTTGGATAAAAATTCGATTACAATTAAATTAACTCACGTTCCTATTTATTTTTCATTAGCTCTATCTGATTTGTGAGTTATGAAACAAAAAATATATCATTTCAATCTACATGAAGTAGTCACGATTTTAAAACAGCTACTATCTGCATGTTATATCGAAAGGTTTGAGATTTACAATGTTCAGTATATTTAATTAATTTTATGTACTACAGACAGTTATTGAACCTCCTTTATTATTGATTTTTTTAATTAACTAAGCTATGTTAATGTTTAAAACAATGTTTAAATGATACAAAACCCTTAAGTGTAACTTTTTATCTTTAGAGCGCGGGCATCTTTGGCTAAACTATCCAACAATTTCGCCTCGATTTGATTCCTATAAGCTTATATGAAGGTGCGCACTCTACTCGATTTTTAGTTGTGCAACTAAACAGTTGAATTGGCTGCGAAACAATCGACAATCGCACTACTATAGGTGTGCGTCCGTTCTTAGACTGTTGTAAGTATTTTACACAATTTTGTAGCTTTCTTTTTTCCTTATGAATTAATTAAAACCAATAATTCTCAAGTATGTTAGCAAATAGCGTTGGTGTTGGAAATCATTAACGTGTTAATCTTTAAATTCAACCACAAATTAGCTTAAAAGGCATGTACAAGATAAGTACTTGTCACGCTGAGAAATAAGCATTTCGTAAGTATAGATAAGTTGACATTAAGTTATTGTACAGTGTTGCCTACAACCTCTTGTAAGCTGAATTCATTATTGCCAAATGATGCAAAATTAATGTTCATTTATATGACGTTCTTAATTTAAATTTAGAAAAAGGGCTCCATAATTATGACGTCACAGTTACATGTGTCAAATTAAGGATTAAATATAGGTTATATTTAATGATGATTGTAAACATAATAAAATAATTTGTAATTCAACATACATTTGGTTCAAATATTAAACGATTTTGATGTTATGGAATATACATTTAATATTGTGGTATTATTTTTTTAATCTATTATCTATACTATTATAAAAAAGCGTAAACACACACTTCTTTGTTGCCTAAGATGTCGGCAATAACAGGATGTTTTTGAATAATTCTTTTTTTAATGAAAATCCCTACACTTACATCATGCTTTAGGCCTTATTTTCACGCCACTAAACTTAGTGTGTAAATATTTTGGATAAAAACCCTAATGTGGGAAAGAGACCATAAGTTGCTGCCAACATCAAGGAAGCAAAGTTGTCATCATTTCATGTCATTTTGACATTTGTAATTTCACAAATGTAAACAATGAAATAAATTTTTTATAATTTCATGCGGATGAAGTCGCACAGGAATAGCTAGTCACCTGTTATATATCGATGTTATCATTTATTTCAGCCATATTAATGTTGGATCAATAGAGTAATTGCCTTAAGCTCTGACTGATTATCCTACCCGTCGTTTAAAAGGGTGCATTAATTTTTACGCTTATTTGAGTGCAATTTTTGCGCACGCGCTGCGTTTTATCTGTATGATGAATGCTTTTCAGATATTTTAATAAGAATCGAGTCTTAAGTACCACAAAGTTCATATAAATCTTTAGTCTTAAGAGCATGCGCACACCTGAAACTAAACTATCGCACGACAGTTGTGCGATTGTCTCGCAGCCAATTCAATTTTAGTTGCACTATTAAAATCGAGTAGTGTGCGTGCTCATAGGAATCAAATCAAAAAAATCAGTTGTGCGATAGTTTTGTTACAAGTGTGCGCACGCTCTAAAAATATAACAGAATACGTACAAAAACCTTTAAATAATGCTGGATTTAGATGTAAGTAGTCGACAGCGATAGATGGCGCCTGATACAACATTTTACAATTATTAATAAGCGTATCATACTAATATTATTAATGCAAAAGTTTGGATCTTTCGTATCTTCAAAGCTTAACGGATCTCGATGTCAATTGGCACAAATGTAAACAGTCTACTAAAGGACGAATTACTAGCTACGTTTTTTATGGCGTTTAAATGAAGTCGCTGGTAATCGCTTGCATGTTATAAATTAGATCCCAACTTAGACCACCGGGAGCTAAAGTTATTAGTCAGCCCACGCCGCATCCCACAAACCTATTTAATATATTGTAATTGAAAATTTTATTGAATTACAATTTAATTACATCTGATTGTGTAATGAATGATCTTTTAGTATTGTTTCTTTCTTGATGGACGGCTGCCGCATTTTTCTCCCCGACGTGCAATCATCTTGTGATTAATGAATGCAAGATTCCGTTGAAAGGATTCGAAGCCAGTTACTTTCTTGAGGTAATTGCTCGCTCACTGTTTGTGATATTTAAAGGAGTTTTCGGTTGGTTTTTTATTAGTAAATTCTGCCTGGGGTTTAATTTGAAGTCATCTAAAATACTTATGGTTATTTTTTTTCTACATAAGAGAAAAAGGAATAGTAATGAAAGTAACAAACTCTATAATTTCCATTATTCTTTATTTGATGCGGCACATTTTTAATTAAATGTTGAAAACAAATTGTGTGTTTTATATAAATCGTATATCAATAAAAATTCTTGAATTGAAATTTTTATTTCTTTGGCGAATTTTTTTCTACAATAATCTCAATTGAATTAAACCTCTTTCTGTAAAAGGAGTTAATTTTATAAAAGAAATATCCGTCATGCTAAATAAAGAAAAATATTAAAGAACAGTTACATTTTATGCCAGGCACGACAATACATTTTATTGCTATAATGAAAAATCTTCGTATCTCCTTTAATAATACTTACACTATTTAATATCTTATAACTATAATAAATAACAATAAGGCCTATAAACTGGACGGATCCGTGATAACACAATCATTTTCAAGCAATTTCAAAGATTTTTTATACAAAAATAGGAAACGACCCATTTAATTATTTCATTGCATTTAAATCATTTAGTTCCTTTCACAAAAAAATATTTTACAAGACGCTAACTTATACATAATTTATTTATTTCTAAAGTAACATATTTTTATTAAAATTATAATTTAAACTCTTAATACTTTTTCACAGTACGCTCATTAAAAATTAAATTGATGGAATCATATGTGTTCGTTGGTTGGAATACATCCAATAGTTAATAAGTATGAATAAAACTTTGTCGTAATCCTTATTACGACAATATTGCCATCCCTCATTCCGTATGAAAAGAAGAGAGATAGCTATAGTGTAAAAGTGTCATGAAATTACGGTAAACAAAAATGGTAAAAAGCTCAACTAATCAAGTCTGTATGATGTCTCTGTCGCAGCATTTCTAATCGTAACTCATGTTCTCTCGCCGCCATTCTTAACGCGGCGATACTGGAACTCCTTCTTTCTACTTCTGGACCAGTCTGCGCGGGTGGGGACTCACTTCCGGGGGAGATTGGTGGAGAGACGGGAGGAGGGTCGGGGGATTGTCGCGGAGGGGGTGCTAGCCCGGCGAGGAGGGAATGGAAGGGTGGACTGGTGGTGTAGATAGGGGCACTGAATAGCGGCGGTCTCGGCAAGGGTGCACCGAGGTACTGCGGACTTAGTACTGGCCCTCCTCCGTATCTATAATAAAAATAATTTCAGTTAAATAAAATAGATCGATTTAAAAAAATGTGAATAATTTGAAATGGCTTCTATTATTAAAAATAATACAAAAGTTTTTGATAAATACCTAAATGAAGCCAGTGCATTCGTATCAAATGGTTTCCGGAATCCGAAGCCGAGTTGTGAGAAGGGGTTGGGCATTGAGGCTACGACGGAGGGCGGGGGTGCCCCGGCTGCCCCTAAGTACGGGTTGTAAGGGTGCGCTTGAGGACCCACTTTTTCCTGCTTCCGCCATTTCGCGCGACGGTTTTGGAACCAAACCTGAAAATAAATGAATACATTATTATTTATAACGTCGTTAAAATATAATTATCAAAAGAATGGACCTTTGTAATGTTTATTTTAGGTTAAGCTTTCTTTTCTGTTTTATTTGTTTCTTTTTATAAATTAGTCTCTTTACTGCTGAACGGATCTCGATGACATTTGGCATAGATGTAGTGTATGGTCTGGAAGAACACATAGGCTATTTACTTTTGTTTTTTGTTAATTCAGCACAGACGAAGTCGCAGGCGAAAGCTAGTCATTAAATAAACGCGATACAATCAACAGGATCCTTTTTACCTCAATGTTAAACTTTATCCAGTTATCGTCATCAGACATAAGCTTATTAATTAATTGATAAACGATTGTTAATTACATTTGTAATTGTCACGTGAGTTTTTAAAATAGGTATAGATTTTTCAATATTGTTTTATCATCAATTCATTCATTAAAATATGTTTTTAAAGATTCGTTTTTAATTATTCATGAGAATCAAAATGTAATTGAGAACGAATAATATTCATAAGTGAATTTGATTGATTTCTCAAAAGCCATATAAGGGAAACAAAAAACACATTCGATACCAAACAATCATTATGTTAACTGTTATTTTTATGTTAATTCAAATTAATTCACTTATGATAAATGTTTGATGGTAAAAAATTAAGGCAACATTTCTCTGTAAATGTTGATGCGGTTTGTTAAAATGGATGCGACCAAAAAGTGCTATTAAAGTTTATTCACAATGGAAATTCAAACTTATAACTTAGTAATAAAGTTAATTTTTGTTTGTATTTATATGATGTTTTACGATGGCGATTTTATAAATATAACTTCATACTGGGCTCTTGAATTTATAAATGTTGTAATTGGAGGCAAACACGTTGTATACGTACAGTGGGCAGAAAAAGACGCCGCGGCCCAGGTGCCAGGTTAACAGAATAGTGCATTAAGTTAATGACCATCTCTCGGTCTTAAAATACCGCGGTTTAAATTTTATTACGCGGTTTTTATATGTATGATCATATATTAGTACATATTGTGTTGTTATATTAAATCTATATCTATACTGATATTGTAAAGAGGAAAGACTTGTATTTTTTTGACCGACTTCCCAAAAGAAGGAGGTACTCAATTCGTCTGTATGTTTTTTTTATGTGTGTTACGGCATAACTCCGCCGCTAGTGGACCGATATTGATAATTTTTTTTTTCCGAAAGGTAATGCTTGTTGTATGTATCGAAATAAAATTCCTTCACCGCTAGAAAGGTAATTTATCTGTAAGCAATATAGGTTATATTTTTTGTGGTTTTCTAATTTCACGCGGACGAAGTCGCAAGCAATAGCTAGTAAACCTATAAAATATGTTTAATATTCAACCTCAATATGTTACATTTTTTAATTTTCATAAGAATAAGGTAAAGTTGGCTAAAGTTATTTCGAAAAATTGTTACAAAGATAGAAAAGCGTTGATAATTTCGTTTGAATACTAAAAGTGTGAAATATTTTAGTATGTTTAAGTAATCATAGTCCGATATATCCAAACATATTTTGTCATCTAAATTACATGAGCTGGTTAAATCTAATCTTTTCGTATTTAATAGTATCTAAACAATTTCAAAGGTCACTTGTAGTTATTGTAATTGTATAAATAAGGCAGATTGCACACTGTTCCAATTTGAAAAGTTGTACTATACTCCCAAGCTTAATAGATAATTAAGTCTAGTTAAAAGTAGTTACTTAACCTAATGTTTAAACAATCCGTAGTGAGTTTAATTTGTAAAAGAGGTGTTGAATACAAATTTATAAACTAGAACTATTCCTAACTGGAAAGGTCAGGTAGTTGTATAAAAGTCTCCTCTACAAATGAATTTAAATATTAACCGTGTATTTAAGATATACCAGCTGATAGTAAGATATACGAGGTATTTTAATTGATAGCGGTATAAAAGTCGTTTTATGATTATTTTCACATTCTCAATTCGACCTTAATATAGACGTAACGTTTTTCTGACTACCCACATAAGGGCAAGAGACACTGCGTTCCGTCCATACATGGCCGATATCCTTTCTTATGTTATAACGTAATTTGCAACAGAATGCCGACTTATTTGCATCGACGTTTCTAACTTATTTAAACGTTTAATTAAAACGAATTTAACTAGTTATAGTATACGAAAATATTCTCAATTTTCTACTATTTGTGTAGCTCATCGCGACAAGTCTATTTAAAAAATTTTACAAAGTCAAATTTGTTTCTGGCCAATTTCGATGGAAAAATAGCTCAATCATAAGGGCACATTGTAGACTACTTTTTTAATTTTTGCTAGCGTCACAGACGACTCTAGTGTTAACCTAGCTGTTGGTCACGACTTCATTGGAATTTAAAAAAAACATGTAGCATATGTCACTAATAACGTAGCTTTTTAAAGGTGAAAGAATTTTATAAATCGGCCCAATAGTTTTTGAGTTATTTCAATACAAAACTGCAAATCTTTCCTCTTTATAATATTAATATAGATAAATTAGTTCGATTCAATATTAATTTATTATATTAACAGCAAAAATAACTAAAATATCCCTAAGTGTTCATTTTAATGTCATCCAATCAGTATAACTAGTATACAAAGAAAATACCGAACGACCTCGTTTTATAAAAACGAAAAACGTTGACGTTGTTATTAAAATGTTATTTACGATTGCGGCATCAATTAAAATGATAATTCAAATTGATTCATTATATTCGATAGTTATTTTATAATTGGCAATTCTGATCAATTTGAATATTCAACTGATTTTTCTCTTAATTAAAGTTTGTTTTACAACCTTTTTAGGTTGACGGATTTTAAATTCCATTTTTAAAATACATTGTCTATTGATTATATTTTTTTTTAAATAATTCTACATAGTTTATGAATAGATAGTGTTTAACTTGTTATTGACAGCGCGGCAGCCAAAAATATAAAACAAAAATTCTTCCAATTAAAATAAACTTTATTCAAAATGTTTTGAATAAATTTACACTTTTACTAACGCAAAACTATATCGCGACTACATCTTGTAAGCGTCCTACTATCTATATTGTTTCTATATATTTTTTATTCAATGTTTCGGTGGCCAGTACTCAACCTCTTTGGCTGTATTCATTTAGCCAAATAGGTTGTATTTCGGACTGACCAGATAGCTGATGTACAATCCAGGAATCTTTCAGTGTTCCACTTTAAATTCTATAGTCCTTTGAACGTTTTGTACACGGTTTTTGTGTCTATTAAGAATGGTTGGTGAGTACACGACCAAAGTCCTTTTAACTTTCTGTAACACTGCGAATATCCGTGATTGTACTTATGCGGTGGTAAGACCCCAAATGACCAATACGTATGCTTAGATGAATATGAAATAGGCGAAGGAGCTTTGATATATAAGTTAAGGTTGTGAATTAATTTGTCGTTTAGAAATATACTCGTATTTACACAAAACAAATAGAAGTAATCAACAAAAAAACTCGATATTGTCTATGGTATACTCTGTGTAATGTTTGAATTATTAATTTCATTACAAATAACAGTTATTTAATCTACAATTTTATGGTAATGCAGATGTTACCGTTGAACAAACGTGTTGCTTTATTACATTAATGCATTGAAAACATTAATCAGAATGTTTTTTTTTTTAATAAACGTATCGATATTGCTGGAGTTTTAATACTGATGATAATTTCCATAGAGTTTTCCATTACTTTTGTAACAAAAGTTACTTAACATATATTATTTTGTATTGTATGTTTTAAAATATTATGTCGATTAAGAAAAAAACATATAAAGGGTTATACCAAAGGTCAAATATAATATAGTTTTTATCTTCAATTGTTCTGACTTTTACATTAAATTGGTGTTCAGCATTCTTGATCTAAGAAATGTTAACACTTCGCGTGTATTTAATAGCAGAAAATTGCTAATAATTATAGCAGTTCGTATGATAATGAATATAATCAAATGAATATTTACCTGTATTCTTGCTTCTGTTAGTCCAATCTTCATTGCAAGTTCCTCTCTGAAACAAGGAAGAAAAAGCCAAGAGGTAAAATCAATCTATACTCTATCTGTACTATTATAATAAAGCATAAACACACACTTCTTTGTTACCTAAGATGTCGGCAATTACAGCATATTATTAAATAATTATTTCGTTAATAAAAAGTCCTACACTTATGACACGCTTTAGGCTATATACTTTTACGGTTTAATACCGTTACCGTTAAGGTGTAAATAAATTGGAAAAAACCTTCATGTGGGAAAGAGACCATAAACTTCAAGCTGCCAACATCAATATTGGCATGGTACGGTAATTGGTATCCAATGTCAAATGCCTTTTTTGTCATTTCTCAACTATTTATTTGGTAACCGGAGGAATTCAAAGCCAGGACCAGGATTTGTAAGTCAAGTGCTTGATATAAGCTACCGAGGCTCTAGGAATGTAAATAATGAATTTATCTTAAGACGGACGTTGTCATTATAAAGATTATATTTGCTAAAAATAAAATTTATATCAAGCTATTTTAATAATCACTGATACGTGATATATTTCAATAATTTATAATTTATTATTTCATTCATATATCGATAGCGTAAAATGTTATTAAATGATTGTTAATGAGATTTAGATAAGTTGTGCTTACGTTTTTCAAGTATTTATTAATGTAATTTAATGCTATTTGTTAATGAATTGTCGATATTATCGTATACATATGATATAATGTCGTTTATCAATACCGATGCAGATAAAGACATTATCTTTCCATCCGTTCGTGATATACGACTCTAGCTTTATACATGTTATTCATTATACTAGCTGTTTCCCGCGACTTCATCCATGCAATATTAAGATAAAAAATATGTCAGCTACCCTGCAGTGAAAGTCCTGTCGAAATCGGCCTAGCCATTTCGAACACGGAACAAACGCAGCATGGGGACAGACAGACAGACAGACAGACAGACAGACCAAAAAAAATTGTCACTTTGAACGGATCTCGATGAAATTTGGCATAGTTGTAGAGGATAGTCTGGAAGAACACATAGGCTACTTACTTTTGTTTTTTTTTAATTCCACGGGAACGAAGTCGCGGGCGATAGCTAGTGTCCATATAAAAACCAAAGGTTTTTAGTACTAACCTTGTAAATACATCAGGGTAATGCGTCCTTGAGAAAGCTTTCTCTAGTTCCTCAAGTTGGAAACTAGTGAAGGTCGTTCTATATCTCCTTTGCTTCCTCTTCGGGGTAAACTCGTAAGCATCATCGCTGTCAGCTGATCCTGGAGGTGGACGCTCTGATGCTGGAGATTGATCAGCACGGGATAACTCTGGAGTAGTTCGTGGAGAGTCGTCTTTATGTACCTCGGACACTCCCATTACGTTGTACTTCTGATATGCTTCTTGAGGATAGTAATCTGGAAAGAAAATTGTTCGTTAAAACTGGTGATGAAGATTGTCGTATTTAATATAGCTTAGCAATCAATAGGAATTAATTTGTAAATAATACTAGCTAAAGAAAATAGTATGTGTTCTTTTAGTCTATCATCTACATTTATGCCAAATTTCATAGAGATCTGTTCAGCAGTTTAGGCTATAAACTCTAACATCAATTTATCCATCTCAACTTTCCCATTCATATTAGGAAGATAAGATGGGAAACGCGCCCACTAAAATTCGCTTAAAATACAGAAACGACTGCTCATAGACACATGCCTTTGATCGACAGATCCCTCTTCTGTCGATTACGTACAGAAAGAGGATATTTTCCCCTTTCTGCTTTTAGCTAAATTACTGTTACTATATACATATATTGGTGTAGATACCTTTGTGATTTTCATCTAGCTTTTTCCACAAGGTTTGCTAGTTCTTGTATTCTTCCGATTATGATTATGGATGAACGGTAGGCAATAACTATCAAGTGATGCGTATTTAGTTATTTCTTTGTGCATGTAATTGCGTAATGGAATGTGTAACTTATTATTAAGGGTCGTAAGAAGTAAATTATCGCGTTCCTGTCTGCGTAGTGCTTGTAACGTTAATTATTAATAATAGCTGGGTATAATTAGCTGATCAATTGCTATTTAGCCGCACACCGTATTCGCATCTGCGTACAAATTATAAAATACTATGTACTGATATGGTTAAAAACTATTTACATTTTTTTTTATCAGGCAACATCTTTTTTATTATAAAATGGGCCAAATGAACGGTGGGAACACCACAGAAACTATAGATGCGTTGCCGGCCTTTGAGGAAATTGTAGGCTGGCTTCTTGAAGGACCCTAAATTATATTGGTTTATGAAATACCGCCAAGGAACCGTTCCACAACGCGGCTGTGCGAGGCAGAAAGTTCTGTGAATACTGCAGTGTTGTGAAATGCCAACCATCGTCATGGTGATGATGGTACCTGGCGGTCTGTCGTGTCGTCTAAGTTATTGTAAGCGCAGGCGACTATCATGTCTGTTAATTAAAAAGATTCGCAATGATATAATTTTCTATACTATAATAGGGCGGATTACAATAATTCATTGTTCCTTGTGGCCTTCCGAGGTGTTAATCTCATTCAAATCTATTAACAAGTATGTTAATTCTGACCTTATTAAATGATAAACGTTTGCCGCTTAATTAGTGAACTGCTTCAACTTAATTGTGTTCTGATAATGGTATTGGTAATTGGCGCTACTGACTTCTTGTTCAACTTAGCTATAGTACAAGTCGTTCGCGTATTGAATCAGTTATTGTGATTGTTCACACGACTTAACTCTGCTTAGTAAAAGTAGGTCGATGTAATTTCTTTTAGGTGTAGAAATTGATTTGATTGAATGGGATGGTTTATTTTTAATCTTTTTGTAAGTCTAACCTAAAATTTTTGTAAAGAACGCGATAGTGTATTTGCCTATAGCTGCGATTAAATTGAACGGATGCAATTTGACAAATCATTCTATAGATTAGTTAGGGTTGTCAAAATGATTACATTACAAATAATAAAAAAAATGTAATTAAAATACACCTTAACGAATAACACTTTTCTTGTTAAATGTGAATTTTATATTTGCAAAATGATTTCTATCGAATTACAAGTAATATTTTGCAAAATAAAACCAGTCCTAGCGTCTGCGCAGGGGCAGCGTAAGTGTTGAGATCGCATGTGATACGAAACACACATAATTAACTTAACAAATTACTGCTCAAGGGAATTATAGCTTTTACTTTCATTATCTTATTTATTACATGCATTTAAGTAACCTTTTATAAAAATATAATTTATACGTGTGTTAAAATTTTTGTTTTCTAATGGTACAAAGTACATAAACTTTATTTTAAGTAATTTTAATTGTTAGTTATTTTTAATTTTTGCCAGCACCACTTATAGAAGTACAAATAATTTTTGTGTGTTAAACATTTTTTCTTATTTATTAAGGACACAATTATAAAACTACGTAGAGTTAAACATAGAGTAGGTACATAACTAAACTTATGATAATCCAAGATAGAATAATAATCTAATAAAGTATTACAGATCGAAATCAAGCATGTTTAGACTCCAACCAACATCACAATAAGCCATAAAAATTACTGGATTCACAATAAACTTACAGCTTAGGCCCATACTATCAACGGAACAAGCGACTATCGCAACACGATCTCACTCGAACCGACTTCCACTTATGAATGACAGTTCGCGCGAACATCACACTTCCACACTCGCACACTTGGTACTTACACTTGTACACTCACATTCGCACTGGACCGTCTAATTACCGCCATTGAGTCACGATAAGACTCAGATAGTACAACTTCCTCTGCAAATCGATCTTATCGTAACAAAGTTCCATGCGCAAGCCACGATCTTATCGAAATTACACATTAATTACAAGAAAAAAATCGATTTATTGTTTAACAAATTTACACTAATTATGATCAAGGAAAAGGTTTTTTGATTTTATTGTTACAGAATGCGATAGCAGAACTGCATTCATTATGCAATAGATTTTCAAACTATAAAACACATGTTAATTTATAAAACCAATTTAATAATTAATTGTAAGAGGTTTAAAAGCAAAAAAAGTTAAAAAAAAGAGCACACTGAACTTAACATTTGATCTAATGGTGGGTATAGGCAAATTAAAATATTCGATACTTAATATTACTTATAAAAAATAAAACAAACTCAAGACTAGTATTTATTTCCTTTAGCTGGTTCGTCTTCATAAAACAGAGTAGCATAAATAATCCAACCAATAAGAAACAACCATAAAATGCTACCGATTAAATCACAATACACAAGTATTGCATTAATGTACGCAAAGGGCTAATAAAATCTTCAATGATAGTTATAAACTATTGATAACACACAAATATCTCAGAAAAAAGTAACTGAAGGTAATCCAGTAGCAGTGGAGTCTGAAACTACATTAAAAGACTTCGCAAAAGTCTATCTCAGCGGTCATTATTGATTGCAACGAAAACAAAATGCAAAGCAAACGTTCTTGAGATGATTAGTCCAGTCTTAATATATTTTTAGTTGTTATATAAGTATGAATAAATTTAATTATTGTTAAATAGTCAGCATGACTATAACTTTTGTTGATAATAAGCAGAAAATAAACATTTTTATATCGCAAATTTAAATACAAATTAAACTAAAGTTTGAGGTTAGAATAGACAATTGTAATTAATTAAGTTTTTGAACGCATCTTCTAATAGGAATGCTATTTAAAATTCTGAACGTATCCATTACAAATGGTTTACATAATCATGTAAGATAACAATGCAGACGGCAGCGTAAGTTTTTGCATCGCTTATAATTCTGGTGATCCTTTACCAAATATGGAAGTAGAAATGTTCGCTTCACGCGTATAAACAGATCGGTTGCGAATGATAAAATCAACTTCACTTATTGAATAAATCATTTGTGCAAATTGAATTAGTCACGACAAGGTTTACTGTGTACTGATGAGTCAGGAGGAAAAAATCGTTTAGTCCATTTGTTTTTTTTTTAAAAAAGATTGATAATTTGGACTTAGTTTTTCCTTGTTCGAGGCAACACAGTTTAGTTCCACATTACTTTCTCGATATTAGAAAACAATCAGTTGTACTGTAAAAAATTTTTATGTACACTTTTATCATATTTTAAAGGATAATTTTTTTTTTAATTTTCTTTTTTTTAATAACATTTAGTTTTAGATTCTATAAGTTCTGAAATCAACAGACCATTAAACTATAGTTTTACCTCTGTTTTTAAATAAACTAACTGTTGCCTGCGACATCGTTAACGCAATATTAAGATACAAAAGTTGCCTTTAATATGCTCGTCTGTCAGCTACCCTTTAGTGAAGGTCGGGACGAAATCAGCCCAGCCGTTTCGGAGGTTACCCTGAACAAATGCAGCTTGCAGACAGACTGACAAATTTTTTTTAAATGCGATTTTCACTATCAGCAACACATACATCATATTCCTAATATTTGGAATTTTTCTTTTGAACAAACAGACACAAATATTTTATTACTTGTGTAGAAGATAGATATACTCGTAGATAAGGTACATTTACAGTAAATTTTATAATTGCTTCTAGATAATAATTTGAGATATGATTGTATTCGAAATTAAGCCCTATTGAATTGAAGATTAATCACTATATTTAATGTGTGCATCGAAAATTATTTCTTTGATGCGAGTAATTACGGATTATTCCATTTGTGGTAACATTCTGATATTACCATTGTAATCTAATTCACACGTTTAATATTTCATACACTTCTATGATATTATGTTTTTAAATACGTTTAGAAGACGATTATGAATACGATTGTATAATTAAATTTTGCTAAAAAAAACAACTTTAATTTACTTTACGGTATAATGTTAAGAGTTATTATTTCAGATTGAAAAAAATATTATTCAGTCTATATACATATAATTATTAAAGTAACATTTTAGTTCAACAATATTTTGTCAAATAATTATGTGTCATTATTTGGTCCTAACATTTGATCTCGAATTAATTTTGACTTTATAATAGTAAGTGAGAATGAGGTGAGTTTAACCAATAGTACTGACAATATGACTGCCAGATGAGCGTAATCATTGATTGACTGTAATTATTAAATTGCGCCAGGTCGTGACATTATAATCACTGGGGAACCTACTTTTTACGTTGTTTCAATAAATGTTCCACAAATCATATCAAAGGTTTTGTGCCGTTTGATATTCAAGTATCACGTCTTTGTCACTAAGGCTGCTGTCACGAAAATTGTCACGAGCGGGGCACAGTGGGCTAACATCTGGGATTACATAGACATTCAACATATCAGATCAAATCAATCAATATCCTACGTAAACTATCGTAGGTTTGGAACGCAAATTTTTCATGACCAATCTTGAAACATCAATAAACTAATTACGACAGACAA